AGACGTTGCGATTTTTTTTATCGCCGAACTCCTTCCTGCTGCTCTCCATATTGAAAATAGATGATGTTTATCGATTTCAACTGGAATATAAGAATGATTTAAAAAAAAATAGTTCTTGGCATAAATTCCAAAACATAGGCAGTCAAATTTCAAATTGAGATATTTTACATACCGATGGAGGCCATTTATACAGTTGAAAACTGGGCACTGCTACCGTGATTCGTGTACACAATAGAGCTTTCAAACCACTCAATGTTAAACAAATAATTAAGATTTAACAATGTTATTTTACTTCACTTGTCGATGGTTGCTAAGGGACTCAGAAAAATTATTAAAGTCTTGGGTCATGGCCAGTGTTGGAAAAGTTCGCGATATTTCACGAAGTTCACCAAGGGAAAAGTTCGCGAGTCATAGGGAACTTTGATGAACTTTTCCATCACTGGTCATGGCTTACTTGATTTCAACAGTAGCATGTATACAAGATATATCTAACACTACGTGCAGCAATTCTGATGTAATAGCATGCACCTTTATGCACGTCTATCACTATTTTGTTTAAATCATAGTTTACCAACAATCGCTTACATTCACAGACGTTTGCTATCATTTTGAAGTAAATTTCTTAAAGTTTCAGATGCATTATGGGTACTTTGCCCCATTTTGCCCCCTGCTAAGTTACAAGTTCAAAAATTATGGTCTAAAAATCTACAAAACCTTCAATAACTTTCTTTCTACAGAAGATACTGCAATGCGGTGTTCACTAGAACATGGCAAAGCCGTAAAAATGTAGACCAAAAAGTTATGATGAGAAAACCATTTTTGAGGGACCGTCGGCAATAAGCGTCATAGGGTATACGTCCCTAACCTCGGTCTAATATGCAGCCATAGATTACGTTTTTAATCATAACTCATCAATTAATTTACCTGCAAACGATATTCTACTGCTAAATGGTATGCTTAGATATGCTTATCATGTCGTTTGCTATCAGGAACCGCAAAAAGTTGAAAAACTTACTTTTTTTAAGACAAAAACTCACCAGGGAAATGTATGTAATATCGGTCTATTGTCCCCAAATTGGGTCTATTTATGGATGCAACTTCGTCCTATCCTGTTTGATTCTCAAAAAAAACGCTCTTGGTAACGTTTTCTTATGTATTTTTTTTTATCACTATCACTGTTAACTTAATACTCTTCATTCCTCAAAACATTTCTTAGAGAAAATTATACGAAAACTACATTAAATCACTCAAGTTAAAAATTAAAAATTAAAAATTTCGCTTATCGTCTTTCGACCGCAGAATATCTAAATCAAAACATTGTGATGTTCATTATACAGATTTGGCAGAAAAAATCTCCCTTCCTGTTCGTTCCTTATCATCCAAATGCAAACCACATTGTTGACGTTACTCTTATTGCTATATGCTGTCAAATGAATTTCATGGGCCAAAGTTAGGAACATAGAAAAGAAATGTGTCCCTAAAGTTGGGTCCATGATTTACTTGTGAAAACGTTGTTAAACAATTAAAATAAACATAAAATATTCAAACAGTAACTGTGAGTTTTACGTCTAGTGTGTATTATCAGGTAATTCCATTCAATAAATGCCATAATCAGGCCATTTGATGATCGTCAGTGCAACCTTCCCATCTTAACCTTAGAAGTCATGGCGGCTAAAAACTCCGAACAGAGTGATATTCTCAACCAGTTTTATTACTTACGAGAGCTGAAAATGTATTGAAATGTTGTGATATAAATTGATTTGTGTGTGGTACACATTTATCAATCATCAGTGATCAATATTTTCCTTATTTTTTGTGTAATATTCCTTAATTAATTATTTATTTGCGTGATAGGCCGAATGAAAGGACTAGACCCACATTACATACCGTAACCCTATATCTTGAAAAGTAAAATAGATATTAATTAAGCGTCTTGGGGAAAGTTGTTTGTAAAAAAAAATTCTACAACTTTGTCCAAGACACCAACCCTGTATCGTAAATAGTTGAAAAAATAAATTTTCGATCTCACTTTTAGGGGGATTAATCTTTTAACTGAAAACATCAAAAGAAGTGCAGTAACATATTGAAACACTTCTCTGAAGACACCATATCTCTTAATTTCATGATAAAGGAGCTATTAATTAAACGCACGAAAATGCCGATTTAAACCACTGTGCACTGTGCATTGGTGAGCATTTCCATGTAAGGGTGGTTCAAAAAATCAATTTTTCAAAAAAAAATTTATATCATAACCACTGGACCGATTTTAAAAAACAAAATATCAAATGAATGGTAATTAAATATATTTTTAGGAAAAATATAATTACCTGTGCAGAAATATTTGATGATATTTTTAAATGTATCTGAGTTGTCTTGCCCCCGGGTGTCCCCGGAAAATAATTAGCGATGGGCCTAATCTTAGATCCACAGGCCAACATTAGTAAATATTAAGTGTTTAAGTGTTTTCAAAAACTAATACATGTAAAAGATAGATCACTTACAAACAGACATAACAGTGGCAAGTTGTTCATCTAACAAGCATTTAACGGTCAATTTAATAGTATCGTAGTTGGTAGTATCGCCACCTGTGACGCGCATAGTCAATTCCCTTGCGTTTGACGTTTATACACTACCGCCATCTGTTCAGCGTACTACCCATCACACTGTACTCAACAGATGGCGGTAATGTTTTAGCGACGATATTTTACAGTGAGAAATATTCAATGTGTTATGTCTGTTTGTCTGTGAATTGAGCTTTGTATGCTGCATAATATTTGTTCTACGGATACTATTGTACTAATTCAATTAAATAAATTTGCTCTAAATCGTCAAAAAAAAATCTTCTCTAGCAAAGTTGATCGAAGTTGATTAAGCCCTAGTATTCACTTGTACCAACCGGTGGAACCTAACGATTTTAAATTGGCACACTACTTGACTTGCCTATTGGTCCCAAGCAAATCGATTAACGTACCTCAATCTAGTCAAAATTCTACACAGAGAAAAAAGTACCTTTTATATATATTCTTTTTACTTAATTTTGGGTAATTTTGAGTTTTGCATCCCACACGCAAAAATATTATAAAACGAATATAGATGAAAATTTATGCATTTTATGGATTTTCAAAATTTATCCATCGGTTCGATTAAAATTTTCGTCAAAATTATACTAAGTCTGAATAACGGAGTGGAATTCGATCAGTGTTTACTAAAATGATAGCAAAAAGATCATCTGGATTCTCTTCGGAGCTTCGTGCTGGTGAAGAGCTTCGTCCCGGCGGATTTATACAGCGCATGTGATCAGCTGGGCAGCTAGACTGCGTAAGCACGAGTTCATTCTAATGAACATCGAAAAGGTAATTAAAAAATAATTAAAAACCTCCCTGAGACAATTTTAATTTTGATTTGAAAACAATAATATTTACCATAAATACAATAAAGAAGCGAAAAATACATTCTCTCGAATAAACCGTATCTATGCATTGTAAGTATATTTCAATTTTTTACTACGGAACGCATAAACCATTTTTATACTAAGTTTGCATTCTCTCCCGTAATACCGACCTTTGCGTCGGTACGGAGAGTTGCGATTTAGCGTAGCTTTTATACTATTTAGATTTCAATATTTTTTGAGTGCACTCTCACTTATTGTTGTTGTCAAAAACGGAACGAGAGATTCGACTTTCTCATGACTATCGTTCAATAAGCTACTAGTGAGTATATAAAATATTCTCAAGTTTGAGTTAATTGAACTTAATTTTGGGTAGAAAATACTCACGAGTAAATAATTACTTTCGCCGTAGTCAAATGCAAACTACTATAAGTGGTTTACTGAAAATTAGCTTACTGAACGAAACATGGGAGATGAGTGAAAAGAACTTTATTTTGGGTAATTTTTAGGTTCCGTGTAGTCCTACACTATGTTTGTTTTGATTCGCTATGAAAGTTTGACAGATAAAATGAGGGGTTCGTGGATTTTTCTATGTTTCGAGGGGTGCATCGATAAGCTTGGGACCGAAGATAGTACCAGAGCTGAGCCAAAAAGTTGAGCACGTTTCTTCGGGACCTACTAGTCTTAGAGTTACCTCTATGCTTGTACCAAGACAAAGGCCTGTTGGCTAGCAACTTCCATGTCAAATGTATCGTTCCTCCTAAATTTGCATTCTGGACCACTAATGTAGCATTGTGCATCAGGTCAAGTCACATCAATGGACATACGACCAGCAAATATAAAAATAGTAGCTCTACACTTTTGGCATAAGTTGGTACCTAATATGTATCACTAAAACGGTTAGTCACGTAACCGCACTTTGACGTGCAAAGTAAAACACTCTTAGCAAAGATATCCACCAATATGTATGCTTAATGCTGAGTGCTGAATATCGACACCTATGTTTGAGTTGATTAACTATTAGCTAACAAAAACTACGTAACGCATTTAATTTATTTTTATTACTATACCATTTAAAATTCATGCTTGAATTAAATCATTATATGCATTAATTTGAAAAAGCTATACATTCAAAAATGACGGTATTTATGGACGTACCAGAAAGAGTAGCCATTGAGGTATGCCCAACAATAAGCTTGTAGCAGTGTTGGTGAATGTGAACCTGAATGCTTCAATCTGATCCAACTCTAAAAACTTTACTATTTGAAATGTGATTCCTATTGAATACTGACAGAACTCAAAATTGCTTACATGTTATTTTTGCAAAAATATGCCACCTTTAATCGAAAACTCATTACCTATCAGTCGAATAACACCAGAAACACACATTGCACGAAAACTTGCGCTTTCATTGCCTACTGAACCCACTTCATTCTCATAATACTTACGTTGCCATGGTTTTCGAGCGAGCATCACGCATACTATGCTCGCAATGTTTTCAAACCGTGTGCACTAGCAGTAGTGAGAGCAACTTTCCGTCCGTTTTATTTTATTTTCCTTCGTACAACTCACGAACTCATGTATCTATACCTATGTACCATCAACAGTCCAGTTCAAGCTTCGCTCTCTTCGAGGCGTACTTTGTGTCTGCTTTGAGGACGTGTTCCGTCAACACACCCTTTTTCCGTCGCCCGTTGATAGTAGTAAAATGACTCGATTAGTGTAGATTTCAGTCATCGAAAAGGACTGCAATGCTCTCGAAAACGCACAAATTAAATGTGATTAGTGAAAATGGTGAAATTTTCAAGTGGAAGATGAAGCTTTAGGATTACCAGCGAAGTAGGATGAGGACCTCTATAATTAGTACGGTTGTACTTTTAGATGGTTGTGTTTATCTTCGTTCCTTGCTTGCCTTGTCTACACGATACTGGCGACGAGTTCAGTTGCAGCAGTGTACGTGCGGTCACGGCTAAGGTTTACATTTTAGTGCAATTTGTGTTGGTTTGTTCCGTTTGGTGTTTGCTTGGTGTGATACATTCATTCTGTCGTGTTTTGAATTGTCCTGCTCAATGTACCTATTTATACCGAATCGGGAAGGTGCTGTTTTTATATAATAACATCTAATGCATGTGCATGGTACGAGCGCTTCAATGGGAAGTTGATAAGTGAAGTGATGGCATTGTTATAACGAAAGCATAGTAACAATGTTTCTCAATGAAAAACAAAATAGTGTTAAGTGAGTGTTTTTGTGTTTAGTGAAATATGTATCGCGTTTAATAGTTAATTCGAAAGTAGCTAAAGTAATGCAAGGCGCGCAGGAATATAGAGGATTCGTCGTACATAGACTCATCTAGCATCTTAGCAGAATAATCTTCACTGTACTCGAATTTTATCACATAACAGGTATGTAATGTCAATTTAATAGACATAGTTACAATTTAATAAAGATTGGAAGCCTCACAGGATTCTGATTCATATTCAATTTTAGAAGTAAGAATTAAGCATTTTTGTGAATTAGAAATGGAACGAATGGAAAATTCTGAATCTAAATAGGGGAAATGGCTCTTATGTTGGCCTATTGATCTAAAGTGGGTCTGGCGAAGAAATGGATTTCAAATTGACAAACAGAACAGATCAATGCGTGACTGTCTGGCAGTCAATGTAGTTACTGAGTTTGATGTTTTCGTTTTTCGATTGCAATTGGAATGTGGAGCTACGTGAAGATTGTGTACATGCATAGCATATGCGCTGGTGAAACGAAACATGATCATGGAAACTTTTTTAAAGTGGAGTAGTTTCAAGCAAAATAGTAATACATGAATTGAAATCAGTTGTATGAAACTTTGCGCAATTAATTGTTATGGGCATTGATTCATATTTTTTTCCAAAAATCTCAATAAGATCCAAAAAATTTACGATTTTTGTGAATTTTTAATTATCTATAGTTTTAAGCATTCCAAAAGTTTGCATTTTTCATGAGCTATTTTTTAAATCGGTCATTTTCAAATGTTTAGGTTTTTAACATTATTTATTTTTAATTTTTGCTTGAAATTACTTCAAACATTTTTTTTTTATATTTTTCCCAGCAAAGCATTATTTTTCTCTACAGCTTTATCTCAGACGTCATTTCAATCAGAAGTGTCGTTTCCGTGCTACATTTTTTTAGTGTAATTAGTAACATCATAGGTTAGTTCAAAGTAGAGCTTCAGCTAGATCTTCAAATGCATTTTTTACAGGAATCAGTATTTTTACTTGGTTTTTTAAGTACTGAAAACCCGTTATTTGAATTTTTGAATTTTTTAAAAGATCCAAAATAGCCGAATTCTATCAAAAATGTGAATCATGTCCCATAACAAACAATTATGCAATCTTTAATTCAACTCGGAGAGAGTCGAGTTTTTCCAATTCGTCATTTGATGTGAAATTGCTCAGTGATTCGTGAAAAAATATCTATTGGCTTTTCACTCAGAATTCAATACTTTTCATCTTTTTCCGTCTTGCAACAGCCAAAAAAAATGGTTCGATTTTGAGAGGTCATATTGGTTTGAAAATCATTACGTCTCCGCCAGACCCAGGATCTAAAGAGTGGGCCCATCGATAAAAATCTCATGTATTTAGATTTTTCTTAGAACAATGCGTTATCTGGATAGCACAAATGGATATTTATCTTCTTCTTCTTATTCGCATTTCAAGCATATTGCTTAATGCATATAAGCTTATTGCGTGCTCTCAACTTAGTGTTCTAAATGCACTTCCACAGTTATTAATTGAGAGCTTTCGATGCCAATACCAATGCATGAATTTGTATATTGTGTGGCAAGCACAATAATACTCTATGCCCAGGGAAGTCGAGAAAATTTCCAACCCGAAAGATTCCCTCGACCGAACCGGGAATCGAACCCGCCGCCTCCGGCTTGGTAATACTGTGCCTTTACTGACTAGGCTATGAGGCCCCGAAAAATATTAAATAGATATTTATGGTTACTAGTGAAAAATTAGCAAAAAATTGTTTCCTTCGAAATGTATGTATGGGCCAAATAATACTGACACTTAAGCCAACATTAGGGATATTAACCCTATTTGCTATGGATCTCGAAAGATTATTGGGAAATAGACAATTCCTGACACACATTAGAAAAAATGAAATGGAATGGAAATGGAATGGAAATGGAATGGAAATGGAATGGAAATGGAATGGAAATGGAATGGAAATGGAATGGAAATGGAATGGAAATGGAATGGAAATGGAATGGAAATGGAATGGAAATGGAATGGAAATGGAATGGAAATGGAATGGAAATGGAATGGAAATGGAATGGAAATGGAATGGAAATGGAATGGAAATGGAATGGAAATGGAATGGGAATGGAAATGGAATGGAAATGGAATGGAAATGGAATGGAAATGGAATGGAAATGGAATGGAAATGGAATGGAAATGGAATGGAAATGGAATGGAAATGGAATGGAAATGGAATGGAAATGGAATGGAAATGGAATGGAAATGGAATGGAAATGGAAGGGAATTAAAGCCGTTGGTCCCCGGTTCATGAATTGATGGGTTGATAGGTAGGGTCCAGGTATGGGAGCTGCCTCAGCATTGGTGCTCAGCACGGAAAACAAGATCGACGGAAAACAAGCCAAAGAAAAACAAATGTCAGAGTCTGAATTATGAGTTTCTGGAATATTGAACCAATTTTGACGCGATTGACCACAACGAATCAATGCCGAACGAAGTGAAGTTTGACCACAGTGCTGGTATGTTGACCACTCATCAAATATCATATAAATCTTTTAGGAAATGGACCCTAGATGCATCCACATAGTGAAATCAATACCTTTTTGGTGGTTACTTGCTTCTTGAGACCTAACTCGGATATTCCAGATACCGGTTCCGGTGGACACATTCAACTTTCTCGTAAGAATGGTCATACCAAAGATGAATACTAAGATGAAACTGTCGGAAGAAAAACTTTCTATTTTAGTGTCCTCTTTCACGGTCCCTTTCATCCAATGAATACCCCCCGTATTCAAGGTAATTTTGTGGTTTTGCTGCCCCCTCGGTAAAGATGAAATTTTGCGCTCATTTTTATCAAAACTCACACCAAAATCAGAGATGTCCCATTTTTTAATTACTCGATTAACAACTAATCGATTTTTTTTGTTCGCTGTGCTGCCATTTTTCCACCAATGAGAGTGCAGCACATGTATGAAACGATCGGTGATGACCCTCTGGAGATGTTAATGCTTATATCGGCATGATATGACCGATTACAAATCTTTTACTTTTCGGTTCGTTAATCGATTAATCGATTATTCGAATGAAAGTCGGCCATCCCTAGATGAATGTGAAACGTCATTTCAAATATAAGGACCGTCATAAATAATGATACAATTTGAAAGGGACCGGGGCTAATCACAAATTACGTCCCCACGGTAACTGAAACAAACACGAGTGTTCACCGGTTGGTCAAACGACACATCAAAACACATCAAATTGATGCGTATGAAACGTTTTTTAGAATATTTTGCCAATATTCTGGTAACTAACTAAGTGACCTAATCCATTCTTATGAGAAAGTTTATTATGGCCACTAGAACCGGTATCCGGAACATCCGGATTAGGTCTATCAATTGTCCTCAGTAAGGTATTGATTTCACTATTTATGTTGATGCATCTAGGATTCATTTTCTACAAGATTTATGATAATTGATGAGAGACCAACATACCAACAGCTTTGTGCCCAAAACTGACTTCATTTGGCGTCAAAATCGGTTCTATATGCCAGAAACTCAAAATACAGACTTGACATAAAATCTATTTGACTATAAAAACATGTAGATTTGATTGCGAAAACTTTATCCAAAAGCAATTTGGAATCAAGTTCAATACCCAAGTAACATTGTAAGTTTTATCACGGTTTTAAAACATGCTACAAGTCTTATTCCTAGTCTACAGAACCCCCATAGAACCCTAATTGTTACTTGGGTATGACACGTTAACACCTCATTTGTAAGTTTGTTTTTTCTATACCCCTTCAGAAACGTCCAAAATTTAAATTCAGAAACGTCAGAAATTAGGAAAAGTAAAAAAAAAATCAGATCTCTAGATACTCACCGTAAAAAGTTATTCCGTTTTGAAAGTTCATTTTGTGTCATATTGACCCCAACACCTAAAGAAGGTTGAATTTATTAAAAACTTCCCACCCCGGAATTTACCCATGAGTCTCCTTAAACACACTAAATTTATAGAATTTCCCCCAATATGTAGAACCATAAACTCAATCTGAGAGTTTCCTAAAGTAGCCTTCGAAGGACCATCAAATTGACCAGTAAGTTCTCTGAACTTGCCGAGTGATTTTCCAGAACCAGCCCAATCTAAGAATCTAGAGTTTGCCTTTACAGCATCCCTAAACATCTACAGGATGTTCCCGCAATTTACCTGCACGTTTCCAGAAAGATTTTGAAACTCACCTTAAATCGTCCCTTGACTTGCTCAAAAGCTTCCTGAACTTCACTTAAACATGCTTATCAATTTCCCTGAAAGTACTCCAGTGGCTTCCCGAACGTTATCCTGAGTAATACTGGAAGAAGCTCCCTTTTCCAATATAGAGCAATTCCACGTCATATGTCGAATCGATCAGACTCGACCTTCTCCGATTTGCATGACACTTTGCAGAATTGTTTGCTATGGGTACAATACTGATACGATTCCTAATCGGATCCTGACTAACCACTCAAAATTTGAACCCATTTGGTGAGAAACTGAGATGGCACAAACCATTTGAAGTTTGTATGGGAATTACTATGGTAAAACCAAGATTTTTGTTCATGTCTATCTAATAATTCACCATATCGGTCTGCTTCAAAAGTTTTCAACTGTTCTTGTAGGAAATTTTCGCAGCTACAACTTTGCTGATTAAATGCAAGGATCGAAAGTTATAAATGGTTCAATGCGCAGATCTCTTATGATCATGCTCAATCAACTGCTCAGCAGGCAACATTGGTGTTTCTGGGGCGTTGAATAGGACACAAAAATCATGGTTACTATGTCACACTGCAAAATACAGTGTTGTCTACAGAGCAGCTGCTTGATCATGTCATAAGTTTACCAATCTCTTAAATAATTAATAGCCTTTTCCTGTCTCGTTTTACATAGAAACGATCTTCAGCAAAGTTGTAGCTGAGAAAATTTTCTAGAAGAATGGCTATAGAACTGTTTCGCAGCTCAATATGGAAAAATACTAGAAGGCAATGAACAAAAAGTTGAGATTTCCCATAGTAATTTACACCGGAGACTGCACGGCGAATGAGAACGACTCAAATTTGAGTTTAGTTCACTCATAATCGCCAAAAGTGCAGGAACTCAGCGATGAGTAAATTTGTCTCATGGTTTCCTGTGGA